AACTAACATTGTCCTAAAAGAAAAGGAGCCCTGTGCTCCAGCCCCTGCTCTCTGTACTCAGCATTGTTTCTGTATTTGGCATTAAATAACCATTGAATAAAATACATACAGATCCATAAGCTGGAGCCAAATGCAGAAACCAGGACCCCCTGACTTCTAGAGCAGTGGCATCTCACTGAGCAATAATTCTTCTCATTTGCTTTTCTTCTGTCTCCACATATCTTCTGTTGTGCACTAGAGGGGTGGAGGGTAGTGTTAGCCCTACCCCACTGTTTGGCAAGATAGCGAACTTTATTGGGAAGTGGGAGATGTAGAGTCAAGCTTTCTTAAAGGCCTAGAATCCCCAGACAAATGCCCCTTCCTCTGGGCTAGAAGTTAGGAGGGCTGCCCTCCTACAACTAGCATTCTGGGGACTGACTGAGAAAATTAGGTGCTCTCCTGGGCAAAGCATAAATGGCTACAGCAGGTCTTTCTGAGCATGCTCAGTAAGAGCATTTGAGTTATGCTGATGCCATTTATCTCTCTAATGTTAAGTGGGTAAATAGCACTTAGGCCCCAGGCAGACATTAAACTTAAGACACAGTTAACCAGTTAATCACATCTTAAAGTGTAAACTAGCCACAAGTTCAGTGGATTAATGGCATAATAAAACAGGAAACCAGCTACAAAGTTATTAATCAAAATATATGTAATAACTTTGTGTCTGGTTTCAATTATGCTTTAATTTGAACATGTGACAGGGGCTGCCCTAGGATTCAAGCTCCAGAGCAGTTCTGATCAGCTGATCCTGGGCAAGATTGGCATTGCTCCAGGGCTTGAGCCCTGGGTGTTGCTGATCAACTGACTGGCTGATAGGGACTTCCCTGGGGACTGAATCCCGGTGCAGTCCCTGCCAGATGACAACAGATCATGGATTCTGCTGACAATCAGCTGATCAGGACTGTTTCAAGACTTGAGTCCCAGGGCAGTCCCAATTAGCTGATGTTCACAGATTGGGACTGCCCCAGAACTCAAGCCCAGGGTGGTCCCGATATGCTTACAATCAGCTGATTGCCAGCCAGATCTTGGGACCACACAAGGATTCAAACTGGCTCCTGGGGCCCCCCTGATGATCCTAGACTCCTCCCCTGCATAGGTAATATGGCATAAGTGAGATCTGCTCCCCAATCATGTCTCCTGCCATGCACATGTGGTATGGCAGGAGGCACAATTTTTGAGATTGCAAATCAGATCCCATTCCAACAAATGAACATTTTAGCCACCTAAAGGGGGAGTTGGATTTGGGCATTAGAGCATATAGGATTTAGTAACCCTGTAAGTAACAAATGCAGCTAGGCTTTTTACATTATAGAAGAATGCACACAGGCATGTGCCCACTCGTGTACATATGCACACACTTGGCATGAAATTCATAAAGAGAATTATGCGTGGTTATGCTGAGCAGTCCAGTGCCTACCTTTAAGGCAGCTACTGGTAAGATTCACAAATCCAAGTTAGGAACCTATGTTCCCTGTAAAAGGGAAGCACAGATACCTAGAAATGTGATTCATCACACCAAACGAGGAATGCCTAAGCTAGCCAATAGAAAGTGCAGAAAAGTAAGGTGGTACCTGAAATCCCACCCCTTTTTCAAACCTAGATACCTGTAGACTATGGCCTGATCTATGCTAAAATGTCATGCTGGCAAAACTCAAGTTTTCATGGTAAAAGTCTGCATGACAAATTCCCTCAAAAGTGGCAGAACCACTGCTCTGGTTACAGCCAGGTTTCATTATCTCCCAACTGACAGATGCCCTTCCACATTATATGGAAGTCAGCAGAAGGCAAATATAGACATTACTGTGTCTCTGATGGGCCTTAGCAGTCCACTTAGTGCAAGCTCATAGTCAGCCATTCTGGATGTTGTTTTGGACTATGTTGTCCAAATTTTTTTAACATACTGGAAGCCAGTTCCTGCTTAAAAGTACCTGGCCATTTCAGAACTCCCCCATTTGCTGCTTCACCATCAAGCTTGAATTTCACACCTTCCCTGCCTGTGGCTGCAGTACTGAAAGGGAAAACATGGCTTTAAGTGTTGCCTTATTGATAAAAGCACAGGCAAAAATAAAAAGTGCTCCTGGCAAAACCCTATTCTCTCCTGCCAGACAGCTCCAGGGATTGCAAACCACCAGTTCTCATGCACTGAGATGATGTGCTGGGAGCAGTGCCTATGACAGATGGGATCAGCAGTGGAAGGAGAATATGCTCTGGCAGTTGCAGAAGGAACAGGAAGCCATCAAGTGCATGCAGGGGCAGATGATATATATCTTCCAGTAGTAGGCAGGCATGCTACAGAAGCTCATTAATCTACACAGCCAGCATGCTGCATCCAGCCTCCTTCAGCAAGCCCTTTGAAAAATCCCACATGGGATGTCCATCTACAAGTGGTCTCTGCTGAAAATGGGACAAAAGCCACAAATGATAGGAGATCCAGGACAGGTGTTTAAAATAAGGACTGTCCTGGTGAAAGCAGGATGTATGTTCACTATACCTTTCACCTTACTCAGCTTGTTCACAATACAACAAAGCCACAACCACAATAGGCACATTTAGCTTGCTCAAGTCCAGTTGATTCCTAACTGACCAGAAGCAATCTTGGGTGGCCAAATTCCACACAGTGATCACCACTCACTTCTCAACAGGTAAAGTTGCTATTATCTCCTGCTGCATCTGCAGCACAGGGACAAACTTCACATGTGGATTGAGAAAAGGGGCCTTTCATATATAAAAAGTTCTTCAGTCACTGCTGGTCATCCTAGGACAATTCAGTCTTACCACTCTGTGCCCCAAATTTTCACAAGCTATTAGCTGTAGGGATCCACTTTTTGTATACTGTCTACATTCTTTATCCAAAGAAGCCTAATACTACAGCTGTACCTTGTTTTCTTCCAGGTGGTACAGATAAGTAAATATGATGCGTTTCATGAAGAGGAAGGACTTAATCATACTATAAAGCCCTTTGGAACCTATGCTGATAGTGGAGGAAACAACAACAGCTGATGGTGAGTGCTTGAAAGATGGTGTGTGCAGATAAAAAAGCCACAGTAAATAGAGAAAAATGCATGCTAGGTTGAAGGTAATGCTCCCCTTTTCCTCCCCACCCTCATTTCTTAGTTCTCTTCCCTTTTATCCTGCAACACACTTGTCTGGAAGGCCAAAGGCCAGTAAGATGATTTCTCATGGTGTTTGGTGATGGTGGCTGTTGTAAGACAACAGAATTGTGAACTCCAAATTTTCTAGAGTAGGCATGAGATTTACAGGCAAAAATTAAGGTTGGCACCCATCTTTAGGACAACAATCTAATGCCTGGAGCACTATCATAAGAAGTGGGAGACTCAAGCCTTCCTCCATCTGTAGGGTTTCAAATCCACATCTCCCTCTCCAAGCAAGAGGGAATGTGTAGTTCCAGGATTGGAGGTCTGGATTATGGTACCTGCTTCAGAGACTGTTTGTGCATTTTGATTAAAGATTCATGGGAGTAAAACACAAACAGTCCTGCAAGCAAGGACTAGACCCAGGACCTCCCCTCTTGCCAGAGGAATGCCCACAAGTGTTTCTTTTTCCTGGAAAGAACTGACAAACCTTTCTTTATTTGTCTTCTATTTTTGTGGTCCCAGAAAATATTCCAGTATTGACATTTCTAGATGACACTCATGTAGCTATGCTGCTTTCAGTTCTTGAGTTAACACATACACAGTATCTTTGCATGGTGCTACCGTGACCTACTCTTTGCAGCTTTAGCCCCAAATGATTTATCCAAGGTCTCACAATCAATCTGATGGATGACTAGTTTCCATTTGCCTGCCTTTCAAGTCCCAGATTACTACTTGAGCCAGTAAAGCACCTGCTCCTCCCTGTTCATACATATATGTTGAGCAAATGAGACAGCACAAAGCTTTCTTTTCTTTTCTTTCTTAAGTAACTATTTCACTCATCTGACCTTAAAGTACAGTCCTGCTTCATTTAAAAAGATTCCATATACCTGCTCCCAAAGTCACATCTGCTTACTGTACTGATTTAAGCTGGCACTTTATTTTCTTTTCTATTAGCACAGCAAAACCAGCAGAAATATAGAAGGAGGTGGATCCTATTCTGGACCCTGTAATAATCACTAGGACTGAGTACTAAATTCTGATTGCAGTATGTTTATTGTTGGCAGTGTATGAATAGGAAAAACTCAACTTGTCTCCTCACTTCTTGGCAGAGACTGCAGGGTAAGAAGTTAGAAAAACAATCTTCATTTGTGTTTCACTTATTCCATCCCAAGTCTGTTCAGTTTACAGTAAACCTGTAGCTCCTTGATGTCATACTTTATGAAGTAACTTTTCAGTGTAGATGCACACTTTAACTGTAAAGCCCTATTTTCTTCTTGCACCAAATTAAAAATCTAACAACAGAGACTGTGACAAGGATAGAAGCAGTGAAAGCAGTGAGAGTTTAGCAAGATAGAGGGTGTAAAAATCCTGCACAGTGACTGTACATCTCTTTATAAGGTCATCATCAGAAAGAGTACCTATCCATCTGGTATGTGAAACAGCCAGACCTAGAGCCATGAGCTTGATTCTCTTCTTACACTGCAGTAAATCTGGAGTAACTTCACTGATATTGCTAGAACTGGCACATGTAGTTAAAAGTCAGAATCTGAACCATGGGGATCTAGCATTACTACTGGATTGACCTTATATCTGTTGCAGGGAAGAAATGTTTAAAACTTCAATTTGAAAGAAATTATCTTCGTTATTAAAAATAATTTCCAAAAAAGTAAAAAAGTTAATATGAAGGCTATTAACATTGCTATATTTTAAATCAAAGCTTTTCACCTGAACACATCCTCTGCATGTTATATACCAATATGCAATAAAATAAAATAAAATTGTCTCAGTGGATTTTCAGAGACTGTAGCATTGTAAACCCACCCCACAAAAGATATTAAAATGAAACCAAGTTGTAGTCTGACTTACCCTTTTTCTTCTTTTTGGTCCACTCTTCATCTTCTCAAAGAATAAATTATTCTAGGGGAAAAAAGTATGGATCAAATTTAGGTCATTCTTTCTTTAAAGCAAGACTTTGTGTCATTTAAATATTAGCATATGAACATTTTGTAAGCTAGTTTAGATGAGGTTGTCATGATATTGGAAAGATAAACCACAGAGAAACATTTGGATAACTGAAGCTAATATTTTTCAATTCTTCAGGGATAGTCAGTGTCATCAACAATTATAAAAACAGGAGTTTTAGACAGTCTATGTTATACAATGATTTTATTTGTGATCAAGTCATAAGCACTCGGGGCGGAGGGAGGAGAGGGGGATAGAAACACATTAAATAAACCATTTATTAAAAAATATATAAGGAAGTGGGATACCAGTTTACTGTAACTCATTTCCTTTCTTTTGAGACTATAATTGTAACTATGCAGTATTTTTATATATGCTTTTCTGACCCCTTTTAGAAACTGGTTTCCTAGTTGCTACTTCTGTTTCTTGCCTTTGATTATTTTATTCCTGATATCAACTATGTTCTATGCAAAGAAGTTCTGCTGAAATTCTTTTAGTGCCCATCCCTTCCTTTCTTTAAGTAGTGCCCCCAATAAAATCTCCAAAAACCATTTGGTCTATAACATTTTTAATGGAGTGAACCTTTTAAAAACTGCCAAAAAATGTCTTGGCAGAATGGAAAGTTATGATGAGAAAAAAGAATGACTCTGTGACCACAGTTTGTATAAGTGCTTCCACATATTGCTATATTTCATACACATAGTGAACTCCAATAAGGTCTGGAATATCAGACACATGCTCAACAGATTGTGTTTCATTTGTGATTACTGTGAGGAAACCAAAACCTAACCTGAAAGTGGAATGAGAGAAGAACTACATGTTTAAAAGCAAAACATTGTATAAACAAGGCCATTAATTCAGCTATAAACAAGTGACCTAACATTGATCATATAAATAGAAAGTGGAATTCTAGTGAGAGACAAATTCACAAAACATTTTTACCCTGTGTGCAGCCTCAATAGGAGAAAAACAAACATTTTAGAGTGCTACAATGACATCTGCCAAAACTGTCTGTTTTGTACTTCTCATGTTCATTAAACCCCAAATTCACAATGCATATCTCTTGCCCAACCTCAGCTATTTCATCAGGGATGTGCCAAAGAAATGGAGATGAAACTGGCCAACAAGATACATTCTTGGCTATAGTCAGTTATACAAACTCACGTGGGGAAAACTTTAATTTAGCTTTTTTTTAAAAAAAAATGTAGATGTACAAATTATTCCCGGTAGGAATCAGATCATCATTGCACTCTTTCTTCATACACTGTTTGAACTTATACTTTACATTAAGGATAAAAAAAAAACAGTTCTGTAATAAAAAGAACTGCATGACTCCTAAAACTAAACACTCATATCAGGCAGGAAAATTCCTCATGATTGAACTGTTCCTGCTCAGTGAGATCATATTTTGTTTAGTCTGTTTGGGAATGTTTTAAGACCATAACTACCATTTAAGTATAATGTATAGCACAGGGCACATAGGGTTATGAAACCTGATCTAAGAGTATGCTTGTGCAGTAACAACAAATCTGTGCCACTATGAACGGGGCTGATTCTGTGATCCACTACATTCTTTCCTGAAGTGCTAAACGTTCTCAGCTCTCATTTCAGATTTGGATCTGAACACATACAGCACATTACAGGACTGAGATCCCAGAAGAGAAAGATATGATGCCTTTATACCCAAATATTCCACTTTTAAATCCTTATCTTAGGAAGTATAAAGAAAGGGAATATAGAATTTAAGAGAGACATGTAGGGAGTGTCGGGCCAATCATCATGTTCTCCTCTACCTGCAATGGACAGGAGATCTTTGGACCTCAGGGCTGCAGTAAAAGGTACAGCATGCTCTACAGCTAAGAGGATGAATGATTTCTTTCCCCTTTGCTTCTTGTCATTTCTTACACGTAAGTCTGTTATTTTGTCAGAGTACAAGGGACCAGATTTAGGCTTAAGCCTTCAAACTGTATAATTTATAAATGCCAAACTGGCTAATGCCAGAGAAAGGGTTTGTTGCTTTTTTGTTTGTTTGTTTGCTTGCTTAGGTTGTTTTGGTTTGGGGTTGTTTTTTTTTGGGGGGGGGGCAGGGTGACTTTAAAAAAAACTTTATTATACAAATAATTTAAAAAGTGCAATGATATGTGGCCCTCCCAGGGGCTGAGTATGATATAATTTGTTATCAATGAGAGAGAGATGCAAGAGAGATTATTTTTTAGACATCGGTGGTTATTGAAATTAATAAGGATGCCCAGCTCTGTGCTCTGGTTTTGCATAATCATTTAGTTGAGCTGAAAAGGAAACATAGCAAAATATACCCTGCCTATCTTGAGATAGGCTTTTTATCTTTCAGTTTAGAATCTGTGGGTGCTGATGCCTTCACACATGAAGTTTTATATATTAAACCAAACAGAAAACTACTCAATTGAACTGAATAATCCACAGTATTGTCTAACATTTAAAAGTATTTACAAAGTTTAACATAACTCTTCCTCAATCATAATTTCTGCTTAGATATTTAGAAATTACTTGTGTAAAGACATGCCCACAAAATTTATGCTCAGTTATTGCAATGGCTGTGTAAGTTAATTACTGGATAACAGGCAAATTGTATGTACAACTGCCACAGGACTGCACACGCCATTTTGGTAAGTGTATGCATGTATTTTTAAAAGTCTGTTTTTAATTTTCTAAATGCCTTCAATGCCAGGCTAAAAAAATAGCAAAAACTTTGCTCTCTAGTTAAACTATATCACTGATCATTCTATTCCTTTGCTTTTCTGAAAAGCTTTTTTTTAAAAAAAAAAAAAAAAAAAAAAAAAAAAAAAATCAAGCAATTTCAATAATGATAGGAGCCTATCTCCCTAATTCAACTGTGAATTACACTTAATTTGTAACACCCCATGCCATCTGCCTGAGTTAAGCAGCAATTCCTTTCAGCTTCCTTACAGGCTCCATTAGCTGTTGATCTCCACTGCCTGAAAAGCCCCTGCCCTCACTTGCAGGCCTGTTGCCAGTGCCCACAAGTGGCAGTGGTGGATGGCAGCTGCAAGCCGGTCCCTGCAGGTACCCCTGGCAACTTCCCCTGAGCAGGCTGTCAGGGAGCCAGTTGCTTTCCCTCCTTTCCCCACCACCCCCACCTTGCATTTGATCATGTTTATTACCAGCTGTTTCATCTGTAATTAAAAAGATCTGGACCTGGCGATGATGCTGCTGAATATAATTTCTGTTGGAGAGTGTACACTTTGTTTTAATTCATACATGGGCAGGGTAGGTTTCTCTCTGATTTAACAGTAACTGGCAACACATTTTTAAAACAGACTAAGAAAGACCAAACTAAGGTATTTGACAATCTTCACTAATGATGACCTATAATCTCTTACGTGCATATTGTTGATGACAACATATTATGAGCCCTGGTTCTGAAATACTGTTTCAGGCCAAAAACTTGACGAAGTGTTTTTACAGTCTTCAAAGTAGCATCATGAAAATAAATTACTTCTGAATAAAAAGTAACAAAGTTATCTGGCATAAATAAAGGAGTTCACCATCTGGTGTTTTAATATTACAGCCTTTGATGGTAATTACTTAGATTACAATAAGAATTTCCAATATTCAGAGTTCTGGCATAGTTCGGTCTAGAATTTTAGGGCTCATACATGGGAAGACATGAAGATTGATTATAAATGATGAATCATTGTCTCATGGTCACAGCAAGAGAAGGTGCTGCCAAGCACATCTATTTATCAATATTTGCAGGAGGAAATCTGGTTTAGGGCAAGCCTTTCTAAACTGAAAAGTAACAGCAATGTATTATGGGATTTCATAGTTTGTTCTACAAGTGCAAGTTGTTTTAATGATGCTTTAAAATGGATTTGGTATCAGGCATCTAACTAGAATGCAAGAGTGGAAGGAACCTCCCATGTCAGAGTCTAGTCCCTTGCATCTGTAGGCAACAATATACCGAACTCTGCCAAAAGGTTAGACAAGAACATCCACTCTTACACACCACAGCCACAAATCACAGCACACCAAATAACAAAGGGAAAAAAACAAAAATCATACCACTGGACCATAAAGAGGAAGTGGAACATCCCACACTACAAAAGGGACGCAAGAGAAAAACCTTAGTGGTCCTTGTCAATTTGACAGAAAGTTCCCTCTCGTGACTGAAAACATGATAATTAGTTTAACTCTTAAGTGCATGTGGAAGACCTAGAAGCCAGGCACCCATAACTATTAGGAGCACCGGCATTCCCAGACAATCTTCCATTTATAGTCATGATCAATGTCCACTGCACCTAGTAAGTAGCCAAATAATGCATTCAGAGGGGGAAACATATGATGGTGACCCCTGAAGATCCCAGGGCAAGTCATGAAGCATGAGATTACTACAGTCATCAGTACAGCAAGCATTTTAAACATATCACAAAACTTATGTAACCTGACTTTTAAAGATTTACTCTCCATGGACCAACTCCTTCCTTGCATAAGCAATCTGGCTCCAGTCACTGGAGTCCTTGTATAAACAGAGCAAGAATTTGTTAGGTCTGGCTATATTTGTTGAACAGAACATGTAAAACTGGGCTTAAAAATAAATTTTAATATAAGCCCATCTTACTGTGGGTTTATTTTGTTTTCATTCAAGTGAAAGGAATGGAATGATGGAAGCTTGACCAGGGGGCGATTGAATCCACTTAAGGCCTTATAGTCCTTATAGTCTGTCCTTATCCAATTAAAGTTAATATTAAACCTTATAGTACTTGACAGTCCAGGTATTGCACATATTGATTAATTCCTTTCTCCACAAGTAAGCCCCTAAAATATTTCTGCATATAGTCACACTGGGCATGTCTACACGAGACATTTACTGCAGAGTTACCCAATTAGCTCTGCAGTAAACATCTCAGTATCCACACATCTGGCCCTATTAGGCTGCAGGAAACTACTAAACTGCACAGCAGGTTAGTACTTGTAAATACAAGAACTATCCTGTGGCAGAGTTTTTTCATGCACAGAAATGTATGTGTAGATGCTGACCCAGCTGGCTGGGGCATGAGGGTGATTCAGAGCAAGGGCTGCCGGTAGCTAACCTGCACCGGAGCACCCTCATGCTGCAGCCAGCCCTTCCAGAGCACATTGAGCCAGGTCGGAGCAGCTCTGGACTGGCAGGCTGGCTCCCCAGGCTCCCTGGCAGCTGGGACTGCACTGACTCAGCTCAACATGCTATGGTCTCGGGCACATATTCAAGTAGCACACCCTGGAGCAATAAACTCCAGCGTGATATGTGCTGGAGTTTATTGCTGCAAATTAATTGCATGTGTAGATGCACTCACTGAGAGGTAGTATTTGGCATGAGCAAAACTGAGTTAGGCAGACAAGGCTCTTTGGGTGAATCTGATATCTTTTATTAGACCAACTTAAGTTGGCTCCCTGACTTAAGTTGGTCTAATAAAAGATATCAGATTCACCCAAGTCAGGGAGCCAACTTAAGTTGGTCTAATAAAAGATATCAGATTCACCCAAAGAACCTTGTCTGCCTATGTCCTTAGACCAATACGGCTACAGCCTACAAAACTGAGTTAGACATTTACAGAGCCTAAGTCATCAAAGTCAGTTATATCTTACAACACTGAGAGGAACACCTAAACAATTTTAACATTGGAGATTCTGTGCTAAATAGATACTACATCTTAATATTATAAATTAGTATATATTATATTATAATATACAGCATATTATGTAATGATTTTCTATCAAACTATATTATAAATGTATGAATATAATAGACTGCTGCATGAACTGCAGTTTGAATAGAATCCATGTGAAATTACTGGATTTATCACATACATTATCATCATATGAATTCCCATTTTCTCTCACTTTCATTTGCCTATAAATAATATTTATCTTTTTTGGCCATTGAATTCATTTTTCTTTTAAACTGAAGCAGGTTCTTCTCTTTAAAAAAAAAAATACTTCCTCTTATGTGAGCCTTTTTTCTAGGAGGTCTTCTTACAGCTTTTACCTACCCACCACTTATTTCAATACTTAACAAAACTAAAGGCTGATTTACTCACCCATTTGCCCATGCTGGGGTAGTCGTGCTCTGGATCAAAAAGGTGTTGGTGCAGCTGGTATTCCCTACTGAACTCTGCTGTGTCTGGTGTGTTTTCTAAACATCCATCATCAACTGCAAAAGTATTTTGAAAGCATTAACTGATAAAAAAAATTGCAGTGCTTTAAGAGCCCATTCATATTTTGTGGCAAAAATTCATTTTTGTGGCAAATTAGGCAATAAAACCTTTTAAAGAACTGGAATACTGAAAAATACTGCATAGTTTTTCTTTGGAAAGACTCTGCCAGGGTATTTTTTAAATATCTCATAAAATACAACCCTTTGGAAGTTTGCACATACAATCCATTTATTTTTTAACCTCTTTCTCACTCTGAGGGCACTAAGCTGGTTGGTAAAACACACTGTTCTTCCACTCTGGGGACAATTCACCATATTTTTATTTTAGAAAAAAAGTGTTATTTGTTTGCAGTTCATCAGCTTGCACTTTAGTAGACAAACTAGATCTAGTGCAGAAACTTCAGCAATCTTGAAACTGACAAAAGAGTGATTCTACTGGTGCAGGTAAAATCTCTGCCTTACTAAACAGATACTAGCACAGACAAAAGTGACAACTTTCACCTGATCCAGCCACAGATAGTGGGCTATAGCCATGACCAAACACAAGTACATGGCTGCAGACCATGCATGAGGGGTCAGATAAAGACATTTCAAAACACAACATCTTTTGTAACTTCTGTCTGCGCTGCCTCCCAGCCAAGGAGATGTTTTCAGAATGGGAGGAGGGAAAGGGAGCAGAGGGAGATCAGTCTGGGGTTTTTTCATCCGCTGCTGGAGGGTGGGGTGGATGTACAGGAGCCCTCCCCAGGTGGCAAGGGCTCCAATTCACCCACTCCCTCTTCCAGCACTGGCTGGGAAACTTGTTCTTTTCCACCCTGCGCCGTATGGGTGAATTCGATTGATTGATGGTCGCTGTTCCCAAGGTAATTCCCCATAGCCAACACCAAGTCCAGTAAGGCATTCCCTCTAGTGGGACCATATACCTCCTGCATTACGTGAAGGTCCTGTACACTGGTTAAGAACCTACGTAAACAGTTGGATTTGACTGACTGCTCCCCCCAGCAGATGTCACGGTAGTTTAGGTCCCCCATGACAACCATGCCCCTGGACCGTATAGCCTGAGAATTCCAAGTCTAGCTCCTCCACTTGATGTGGCGGTCTGTAGCAGACCCCCACCATCAAGTCCCTTTCTCCCTGACCTCCATGTATCCTAACCCACAGCACCTCAACATTCTCCTCCTCTGATCCCATTTTCATTAAGGTAGATGTATACTGCTTCTTAACATAGAGGGCAACCCCACCCACCCCCTTCCTCCCTACTCTGTCACATCTGTACAACCTATACCCCTTAATGCGTACTGCCCAGTCATGGGTAGGGTCCCACCAGGTTTCCACTAGCCCCACTAAATCGAAGTTATTGTTTGCAAACAGGCATACCTTGCTCTCCTGTCAAGGCCAGATGTACCTTGACTCCAATGACAGCCCTAGAATTGCTTGATTGTTTATATTGTTTCTTTTCTGTTATCACTGTGTATCAGTAAATTTGCCCTTTAACAAATGGAAAGGTTGTGGTTGGTCTGAGGGTGGGTCCCCCTCAGGAACAAGGCACCTGGGTCCTAAATCCAAAACCAACAATTAACGCCCAACGTGGGGCTCAGGACTGTGACTCAGGAACTGGGACCAGGTCCAACGCCAGCTATCGCTGACTGGAGCCCAGGAACTGGAATTTGAGGGCAGTAACCTGACAGATCAGGGAATTTGTTGATACAGAGTGACCCTTTTTAGAGGGGTCAGCTAAGACTTGTAGTAAGATAGAGCTGTATGGTAATTGTAATTAGGGTTGTAAGTTTTGTGCAGGAGACGCTGAATCTGGATAGCTATCTTGACAATTGGATAAGACACTGATTGTGGAGTGACATGCTGGGAGCCACACTGGAAACACAATCTAAGTAAATCAAACAGTGTGGAGTGGGGAGGGATGAGCAGGTCTGTTGGGCCTGGGTGGCAGGCCCAGGGAAGGGTAGGTGGGATCCAATGGGGGAGGGAAGAGGGCTAGCCGAGGCAAGATGTGGGACGGAGTCACAACGGCTCATTCAGGAGGCGTGGGAAAGGGGGGTGGATCCCACCCAGGGGAGCCATGGGGGGTATGTGCCCCCCGGATCCGTGCATAGGGTGAGGGTGAACTGTTGCTGTGGGCTGGAGCCAGGGCCATTGCCAGGCTCTTCCCAGCTGCAGGGGGGCTGGGCCAGGGCTGTGCTCAGGGCAGCTGGCAGTGGCACTGGAGTGGGGGGGGGGCTACGGGGTGAGCTGTGGCCACCCCAGAATTCGCTGTAGGCCCCCCACCCCTCTAGCCCCTTCTCCTCCTGCACCGAGTGCAGCCCCGGCCCAGCCCCCCTGCCAACAAGAACACCCCAGTGCCAACCCCCACCCCAGACCACAGCCGCTCCCAGTCCCTGTGCCCCCCGGATGAGCCTCTCATGGCTCCGTCCCATGCCCCACCCTGCAGCACCTGCGCCAGCCCTAGCCCCACTCCCTCCCTCATTGCAGGGGCCTCTATCTTCACCCCCATGACCCTTCCCTCCCCCTGCCCCTTTCCCCACAATAGACTTACCAGCCAGACGTTTCTCTGTCCAAGCTGTGGGACTGGCTGCATGCATGCTGCAGCTGCATGAGTGCATGTGGCATTTATTGGCGACATTATCTGCCACATCAACCAAAAAAAGCCAATTGCTGATAATGCCAATTTTCCTTTTATTAGTGCCAATACGATATGGACCAATGTATTGGTGCACCTCTATAATAAAGTTTTGCGCTGTCTTCCACCTCCCTACATGCTGTAGAGGGGGGGACTTTGAGGGGCAAGGAGTGCGGCCGGGCTGGGCAGGAAGGTAGGGTGGGTAGCCCCCCCATCCAGGGTTTACCAGGTGGGTGTGGCAGTGCTCAATGGCCCGAGTCAGTCCCCACTGGTGGCAAGGACATGCAGCTCCTGGCAGTGTCCTGAGGCACAGGGGCACAGCATCCAGCTGCCTGGGCAGAGGCCCCTGCTGGGGCAGAGCTGGAGCTGCTGACAGCCAGCGATGCCATTGCCAGCCTGGCCTCCTGGGTGGGGCTGCGCACCTGGAGCTGGCAGGGCAGGTGCTGACCCTGGCTTCTGGAGCTGCTGGCTGAGGCCAGGGGCAGGGAGTGTAGTGAGATAGGCTCCTGGTGAGGGGCCCTCCCCTGGTGATGTGTTGCTGCAGGTGCCAGGCTTCAGCAGAGGCTCAGGCAGGCCGCTCATGCTGGAGTACACAGCATGGCTTCGGTCAGGGTCCTGGGGCATGAAAATGTCATCCAGCTACTGCATAAGGGGCATGGACTTGTGGGCAGACCCCAACCACTGGTTCTGGTTGGTGAAGGTGACCTACTGTGCCCACAAGGCCTTGACCTTTATGCAGCGTGGATGCACTGACCAGTTGTGCCCATGCTCCTGCATGCATCCTGACAGGCCCTTGTAGTTGTACACATTGGCGTGCCCACTCCATGCTAACTGGCTGAAGACCCTGGCCTCACCCCACAGTGCCACAAGGTCTGTGGTCTCCTTCTGGGACCAGTTGTGGCCCCGGGAGGTGATGTCTGGCATTGTGGACAATGCCAGTGTGGCTCCATTGACAGATTGTTGGGCCACTGAGCCATATTCCTGGCGCTGCCAGGCCTAGGCAGGTGCCTGCAGCACCCAGCCCAGGGGCATGGTGTGGGGCAGGCAGGCACACGGCAAGGGGTGTGCAAGGCACCAGCACTGGGGTCTAGGTAGGCTGCTGTGACTGGGTGCTGTAGGGCCTGGCAAGTGCCTGCAGCACCCAGCACAGTGCAGTGGCATGGGACAGGTAACTGCATGGCGACGCAAGGCTGAGGGAACAGAGCTGGGGTTCAGGCAGGCTGCCACAGATGGCCTAGAGCCTAGCTGCAACACACAGTGGTCAGAGGCTGGCTGCAGATGGCCCAGGGCCCTAGTGTCTCCACAAGCTTTTAAGGGCCTGGGACTGGGGCAGGCAAAGAGATGTCCCAGCCTTGGAGCTGGAGAAACTCCCAGCCCCGTGGCCCTAGGGTGAAGCTGCAGGTGGCCTCCTGGTGGTAGGGGTGACTGGAAGCAAATTTGGTCCCAGTCAGCATCTACATGTGCATTACTGTACAGTAACTACTCAGGAGTTAATCTGCTACCTGTACTTACAAATAGAAAATTAACTTGCGATTAGAGCAAATTTCTGAGCAGTAAGCAGCGGCACGCATAGACTGTGATGCTTACTGTGCAGTAATGTGCTCTACCGAGCAGTAAAGCATCTCATGTAGATGTATGAATTCACAATTCATCATTGTATATTGGTGTATAGCTCATTCATTGTCATCATTACTAGAGATGATGGCTCCAAGTGGCTGCTCTTCCCACCTACAGGAGGATACTCTATCCAGCTGTAGGAGTGTTGGTATTTCTTGTTTTTCTTGTGCAAGTTGGGAGCTTCTGGGGCCAGAATATGCCAGTGAATCTAGCCGGATCCATTATTGCCTCATTCATGTACAATAACACTTTCTCACTAAGGCAAAGTAGAGAACGCCCACAAGTTTGTGTGTTGGTTTCCTTGATTATCCCATGTAAATCAGGAGAGTATTTGCCGTTCTCCTCAAAGCATCCAGGAGCAGCCGAGGCGCTTTAAGTGTCCACTGCTATCGGATACAGCCTCATGATGACGTAAGAGCAATATTTGTATCTAAGTGACCATGAGGAAGCTATTCTGGGTTTATCTACATTAAGGCAGTAGCATGTTGTAGTGAGGATGGATGCAATCATGCCCTGCCCAGAGTTTGCAGGCAAGTTTCAAATCCCAAAGTGCCATGTCCAAGTGTTTGGTCTCTGGTGGTTTTGGGAGCAGCTGCTAAAGACAAGCCCATTCTAGGGTGGATTGGACATAGGCAAGGCATGTTCAGCTCATCCTCAGGAACCAACTGCTGCTGTGGTATAGACAACCCCTCTAGGTCATAAAGTCCTTACTTTTTTGCTAAAATTAAGATCTTAATTTGTCAGTCGGCAACAGGGTAAAACTAGCTATACTAGCTGGCTAATTAGAAAATGTCAGTAGGAAGCTAAAGACACCTAACAAAAGCTTTCCTGTGGCCTGAATACAGAAAGCAAAAAGCTATCTTAAACTGAGAAGTGGCTGAAAGAAACTATTTAGGCATTATCTGCCTTGTATGCCCTTGACTCAAACCACAAGAAACAGCAGGGCATGTTGCATAATCAGACCGGTACTAGTGGCCAAAGAAGTCTTCAAGCACATGAAGCATGTGCACCCCATTGTGGGAAGTGCATGAATATAATCACTGGAAAGGGGATGATTTGTTTCCCATTAACCAACCCATAAACCTGTTCTCCGGTAGGTTGTATGGACAATGCTTTGGATACAAACTAGTTTTCATAACCATAAGTGGAAACATTTCTACTGAAATATTGGTAGATGTAATCTTCACTGAGAATGCATCTATGTAAAAGCAGCCTTTCATAGTAGGCAGCATTTTTCCAGGAATGCTCTCAATTTTCATATTTGGATGTATCATCTCAGCTGACTAAGCATTATTTTCCCTAGAAGAAAACAAAAGATTTCAAGGGAGCCTCAAACAATTTCACTGGAGTCCAAAAATTAATCTTGTTCTTCTAACCACTAGCAGATCTGATGGGTAAACATAAAATGCAAAAATCTGTGGAGAAAAAAAATCTAAAAATAATTATTCAGAACTTGTCAGAGAAAAGATATATTGGAAATAATGTAGATATAAACAACATATATAAATACTAAACAAGTATTTCTCATTTGTAAACTTTTAAAATATTTCTAGACCAAAGGTATATTTTTCTATTCTTTAGTGTTTATTCCCACAGGAGCAGATGCAATTCCTACTAGGAACCAATGAGAATTTGCCTATTAATTTCAGTTCTGGAAAACTTCATGCAAGTCACCTAAAGGGAAAAACTCAGTCCCTTAATATATGTTGATAAATGAATGAGACAGATTCTTCTTGGAGAGTGGAGCAAGACTTCTAAAGGAACCATTATGAACCTTTTCTTTTTCCAGTATATGTGCAAGGCTAATTTTTTGACTGTGCTTCCTCTAATGCACCAATATTAACATATATATTATATATAAAACAATCCAAAATAAGAACACTCCAATGCGCACACATCTCTTTTTGGGAGAACAAAATACTTAGCTGATGTTAGTCACATTGTTTATTGCTCTACTGTAAGATACTTAGATCCTGCCATGAAAAGCAAGGTATAAGAACTAGAAGTACCTGTTTTTCCAATTGGGCAGGGATTTGGAGGGTCAGGGTATCCTTGATCTTCACTAAAATCCTTTGGTATGTTATCTCCTGTTAGCTCAGCGACTATGTTTGGGATATTGCCGTAAGGACCCAAGTGCTGAAGACCTTCATGTGCACCACCTGATGAAGAGAAATTCATGCTCAGCCTTTTTAAAAGGAGAAAAAGTCAGATTTTTGCTTTAGCTTTTCCAGGAAATGTAGGCCAATATTTTTTTTTTTTAAATAGATGCTAGCCTCCAAATTCATGTTTAGGAATGTAACCTTGATGCAGTTCTTAAAAGTGCTAAGCACCAAGTTTACAGCCCCTTTGTAAGTCAAACCACTTTGGTACCTAAGCCTGGACTTCAGAATTTAACTTCAGGAAGTACTTTTGGAAAATCTTAATCCACAGTTTTTTTCTAAATACCTAAGGGATGAGTAAAAGAATGCAGAAATAAATATCTAATATTAGAGACAGTAATGGAGTTGAAAGACAATACCTACTGTATCATAGGTAATGTTACTGCTCATTGCATCTAGTAAGAATTGAGAAGTGGTAAAATAGCATACATAGTGCCAAAAAGACCGTGTCAGAGAAAAGAAATAGCACTCTTTTTAGGAATTTATAAATAAATTCAGTCCTAGGAAAGAAATAAAGATATATCTTGGCTATAAACTGATTACATGCTCGTCAGCTAAAAAAACATTGTGTCCATCTCTCATTCTGAATAATAAATCTAGTGTTTTTTCTAAAGTAATAAAAGCAAAACCAATTAAGGCTAAGTACAGGCATTCAAGAAGTCCATTGCAGAAGCACTCTAACTTTTGAGCTTTACTCTAAGCACCCAACCTAAATGGGGGTGCTCAGAGTTTGCCTGTGAAAGCAGCTGGGCCCAGGAGGCTCCTGCAGCCAGACCCTTGCACTGGATGTGGCTCTGCCCCACTCGCACTGTGTCCCACCTGCAGAGAGGCCAAGCCCAGAGCCAGGAGCCCCCCGAACCCAGTGTCCTGGCCTGGCCAGGCAGAGTCCCCTTGCAGGCAGAGCAGCTGTGGCCCACCCCTGCAGCTGAGCAGGCTGGGCCAGGCCCTACCTCAGGTGCTGCTGGGCACCCCAGCCCACCCACCGTGGCCTGAGTCTGTGGGACCCCAGGGCAGCCCTCACTTCCTGCACAGCCCCCAATCTCCTGCACAGCCTCTGCACCTCTTCCCTGCACCTGCTTCTCCCTGCACAGCCCAGACCCTGCCCCAAACACCCAGCCCCAGCACCTGGTGCCTTGGTGCTGCCCCTGCATAGGCGAGATGGGGCCTGGGCTCCCCCAGATCCAGGACCGTCAGGGAGGTCTGAGCGTCCCGGCCTTGGGGCTGCTGCTGATGTGTCAATGCCTCCCTCCGCAAGACACTGCCCTGGACCACGGGGCTTGAGTCACAGCCGGTAGCGGTGGGAGATGTAGGTGGCAAGGGGCATGCCCCTCTTTCTCTTTTTCCTTTTTTCTCTCTTCCTCTTCTCCTCTTTTTTCTCTCTCTCCTTTTTCTTTCTCTTCTTTCTCTCCCCTTTTCTTTTTTCTCTTTACCTCTATTTTTCTCTCTCTCTTCCCTCCTCTTTTTTCTTTCTGTTTCCCACTCATTTTCTCTCTCTCATCACAACATGCTTAACAAAAAAGAATACACAAGAACAAATGTAGTATATGAAGTTTTATTTATTGCCACCAGGTTTAGAATCTTTAGAAAACCTGGTATTTACTGTTAAAAAAAGCAACATACATGATTATTAACTATATTAATACGCAGTGTGTCCTGCCATGTACCCTCCCTCTGCCCCTGTTCTGTTTTTCTGGCATGCTGGCACTCCAGCACCTTACAAGATGGACACTGCAGTTTTTTTCAGCACTCCGGCCAAAAACCTTGCCTACCCCTGATCTAGGGCCTCCAGTCAGGCAATTCAACAGCAAGGCAATTCAACAGCACCTCCTCCCTACCAGTCATGGCCCAATCCAGTCTCACAGCCCCTGGTGACAGGAGTCTGTGGTACACAGCCTAAGATCAGAGGCTGTGACTGGAACTTATAGTGAAGAGGAGACATTTCAACAATGCCTCGTATGTACATCTTTCATTCGATCAACAGGTGTTAGGCCACACATCCTGAACTCTGCACCCTGGCAGTGAGAGCCAAGGGGCTGAGACAACAGTTCCTACGTGGGAATCCTTCCCTCATGTGTCCCTTTCCAAAAGTGGCAGGGAGAGAGGGAGGTCTGGTTTTTTTGTTTTGTTTTGGGTTTTTTTGTAGGACGAGAGGGGAATTTTCTTGTTCCTGCAGCAGTTGTCAGACACAGCTTTGGCATATCTCCTGTCCCTTACCTGGGGGTGCTCTCTGAAAAAAAACTGCTGTAGGCCTACCTCTGCTGCCGACTCCTCCAGAAGGGTCCCTCCAGGCAATTCCTCTACAACATTCCTGGTCCTGTTGGCATGTTCTTGGGGACAATACCCTGTTTTTGGTGAGGATATGGGAAAGGTCCTTGTAGAACTGCATGGTCTGCCCCTGGCCCCTAGACTACTTTCTAGAGTCAAGCATGTGGTAATAGTCCTCCCCGTCGACACGGTCTCAGCAAGGAACTGCTTCCAGTCTCAGCTGCAATCCCCTTGCCTGCATCTGCTGGGCGACATGCTTGAAGATGTCTGTGATTCAATACCCTATCTGGAGCTGGTGCTGGATGTCCTCCTCACCCCAGATGGCGATGAGATCCTTTATTTCCTCATAGTGCCATTTCTGCGCCAGGGGTTAACTCATAGCAGTGGCTGGTCCAGTTTTGTCCATGGCGGTGTCCACTGGGGTGTCAGTATCCATGGGCGGGTGATGGTCTGGCTGCAAGGGGAGCGGGTGGAAGGTTGGATGGAAGCAGTGGTGGATGCGCAAAAATGAGGTTTAGGGCATGTGATTCTCACTCTTTCTTCAGGGGCTTAGGGCCACTGCTCCTGCTCTACCTGGGCTTGGCTGCTCAGGTCACCTCCACAAGCTCAAATTTCCCAGACACCCTATGATTCTGGCAACACCACACACCATGCCCAGGTTGCAAAATTCAAAGGTCCTCAACCCTTAACCAAGGAGGCAGCTGGCCAATGCCCCACATGGTCCTGAAGGTTCCAGGGGTGTCTGTCAGCTCGCTCCAGCTTGGAGGTTCACTGTCCCCCTGCCCCCTCCCCCTCCCACAACCACATCACCCTCAACTAGCTAGTTGATCATTTATTAAGTAGATGGTCAATGAGGAAGAAGATGGGAAGTCAATCCACATTGAATGAGAATGAAGCACATGGCAGGAGCCTTCCCTCTGAAGAAGCTAGAAAATAGGTAAGTATTTAGGGCCTAACCCACCCACCCTTTTTCTTCACACCCTTGTAAAATGGAGGATGTTAGTGGAGTGGATTCTATTACTGGCATGTTATGAATTTCAACCCCAAATAGGACTTGCCAAATGTTATTAGATTTCCTTTTTTTTCCACTTCCACCTTTTCTTTCCCCATCCCATAACTGGCACGGTATAAAATCCCTGTTTTTAGATTTCAATATAAATATACATATTACAAATGAGACTACACTAGGCACCACACTGTCAAGTGGTTGTTTTGCATTATTACAAATTTATTTTTATATTTGAAAAAGAAATAAATCAATCTGGATATGCAGTTTATAAACTGAAGCAAGGCAGAAAGTTGAGATGACTCATAGGGGCAGATGCGGTATTGAAAGGAATGTGATTTTAAAAGGAAGAAGATTACAGAGGTCTGAGACAGAGATAAGAAGAAAACCTCTCCTCTCATTACTTTCCATCATCTGGAAATGTAACCTTTCAAGAACAGACATAAAAGTAGAACTATTGTAGTGCTGGAACCAAAAGCATATGCCAGGTTCAGATCTAAGACTAATACAAACACTCCCCCATGCACCTAAATTGAAGTTTCATATTTATCTATTCTCTACGTGAAAGTGATTTTTGAATGAACTAAACAAGTCCAGAGAGGTTTTGGTTCAGAGTTGAGAATTAACCTAAGTGTGAGGCAAGCACAAACTTGGTTTGAGCAAGACACTGTTTACATCAGGACATTACAAAATACTTCCGAGTGTAAGCGGCTGCTTACTACATCGGATGCTTCTGAAATCACTTTGGAGAATGCAGGATGGCAAGTAAATATAATGGATTGTAGATACTGAGAACAAGAAATACAGTTTACTTTTTTGTTACTTTTTTCCCCACAAAAGCCTTCAGATGGAGTAAGAGGAGTCCTTTCCTTTTTGTGTCCTTGTGACAAGGCATTTAGCAGATCCACTGGAATCTGACAGGGCCACGGCATGAGCAGTTCTGTGATGGACTCATACTTGTGATCTCCAGGCTGTCAACTTTGCATCTTAGTGTCCATACCACCCAAATCCCCAGAAAGTGGAGTGTTATTAAAATATTTTAGGCAAGATTTTGCTTCCTAATTTACACCCACACACATAACTGGCTCTTATTCTTATTTTCTTTGCAGGTGAATTAGTGAAGCTGCTGAGCTCTGATAAGCTTCAGTTGGCTTCATTCACCCCTGAATGTGCTGTCTTCTCACTCCCCATTTCCCCAAATTGTAGTATTTCTGCATACTTGTAATGCTCTTAATGATTACCCAGCTCAGACAATTTCTCTAATGCATTGCAAGAAGACAAAATAAAGGCAGGCTAGAGATGTAAAAACTCAATCCTGCTCCACTTGAAATCAATGGAAACTTACCCCAATTTTAGATTTAAATATGTTACTATATTATAAACTTTCATATGACTGAAAGACTGTGAGAAAAATTTAATCTAATTGCCATGAGTGCAAACATTCAATGCTTTTTAAAACCTTCAAAGGCAGGCAAGGTTATTTGGGTAGATGCGATAGCTTTTATTGGACCAGCTAAATAGTTGGAAAAACGTTCTCTCCAAACTTTTGGGCACAAACTCTCTCCTAATGCCTGCGGAAGGGTGTTTGTGCCTGAAAGTTTGGAGAGAACGTTTTTCCAACTATTTAGTTGGTCTAATAAAAGCTATCACATCTACCCAAAGAACTTTGCCTGCCTATGTCCTTAGATCAACACAGATATGACCAACAGCCTTAAAACCTTCAAACAAT